AATATAAGTAATCAAGCTAAAATGTCAAAATAACAATTAACATAGATAAAGATTTTTTGAGGATTAGAACACTAGAAAAAATGAAATTGAGATTGTACACTGGGATAATACATTTATTTGAGCCAATGGGTATATATTTTCATGTAAACACTTGTCCCCAGATTCACTACTAAATCCAGAGACAGAAAAATAGCAGTTTGGGTACATACCAATTTAGAATAATTTATAGTTAATTTACGTTCCTTTTCTCTTTCCTATTTCTGTTGTTGCTTATTCAAACAAGACCGGCATAACCACTTTATGAGAGTAAATCTCTGATTCCTTAGTTTCGAAGCCTCAGGACCTGTTCACATTGGCTTTATTCCATGGGATCCACTCTTCATGGCTAATTCGTCCTTTGTCACTGAGTTCATACTGCTGGTTTTTTTCCAGCCTCAGGGAATTGCAGCTTGTGCCCTCTGTGGTCTTTCTCATCCGCTATCTGATCATCTTGAGCGGAAACCTCACAACCATCTCAGCCGTTTGCTTGGATCACAGCCTCCACACCCCCATATACTACTTCTTTTTAGGTGTTCTCTCCACTTCTGAGGTCTATGCAATTGCCATCCTGCCCAAGACACTTACTAACCTGCTCTCTGTACTGAGGACACTCTCCTTCATAAGCTGTGCCACTCAGATGTCCTACTTCCTTGGTTTTCTGTTATCACTTGCCTGCTTGTGGGAGTGATGGGTTATGATCATAATGCTGCCATCTGCCAGCCTTTTCACTGCGCCATTCTTATGAGCTGCAGAGTATGCAGCCAGCTGGCAGCAACATGCATTGTTAGTGGCTTTCTAATATCTCTGGTGGGCACAGCTTTGGTCTTCGGCCTCCCTTGCTGTGGCTCCAACAAAGTCAATGGCTACTTTTGTGATATTTCACCTTCCATCCGTTTTGCATGTGCTGAAACCTGCCTCAGTGAACTGGTTATGTTCATCTGTGGGGTTTTCATACTTGTTGTGCCCTTCTTCATCTGTATGTCTTATGGCTTCATTGTTCGCACCATCATGAGGATCCCATCAGTTGAAGGCAAGTGAAAAGGCTTCTCCACCGGTGCTTCCCATCTTACTGTGGTCATTGTCCATTATGGCTGTGCATCCTTTGTCTACCTGTGACCTTCAGCCAAATCTACATCAGGGAAAAGCAGGCTGGTGACGGTGACTTATACCATCATCACCCTGCTGTTGAACCCCATGGTATACAACCTCAGGAGCAAAGAGGTACAGCTGGTCATTTGGAAAGTGATTGGCCAGACGGGTTCTTCTTTTAAGACTTTATAATCAGAACACTGTTCCACGGTACTTACAACGCATTTAAATTAATCGAGTCTGAGATTATTTAAATCATGAGAGTGTATAGTCTATCTGTTTGTGTGGCCTGAGTGAATTGTTTGACATTTTATAACTTACTATTTTCCTATGTAAATCAGGGAAAGTAACGTTTTGTTCTCAGCATTATGGAAAACATTATAAGGTATGTGGCAATAACGGTCACGTCCATTAATTTGTCCTGTTCTTTTTTACTCCAAATATAGTTGCAATCAATATTCATTTATTAACTAAATAATTTTTAAAGCAATAGAGTGTTTGTTTTAATGGGTATTTCTTTTCTGGTATTTCAATAACTTCTGCTATTTATTTCTAGTTTTGTTATGTGTTAATGAGCCAACCTGATTTACAGTTTTATTGTTATGATTACTTAAATTTTATTATTGATTTCTTCTGAATTATGCCTGGTGAAAAACTTTAATATGTGTGATAGAGATGTCTTTATTTTAATAGTTGAATTTAATAAGCTCTTGAAGTCACCCTAAATCATTACTTATTTTGCATGTATGTGATCTGTGTTGGTCTCATAGTGCTGAATCATTTTACCGTATTAGGGTTAAGGGACTTTTTACTAATTTCAAACAATACTGATTTGTGAATTTTGTTCTAAAGCGTATTTTTAAATGTTAAATATGACATTTGGAGATTGAATGCAGTATGATCAAAAATATGGTAAATGTTTAATTTTAAAAATTACTACAACATAACACACATTGTCATGAATTCCTTTCAAAATACTCCTGCTTTCTTCAAATACATTTATTCCATCCTTCTTGCCACTCTCCGTAGCAGTTCTAGAAAACTCTTTTGTGTCTTTAGTTGGGTTCTCATTTCTGCCTTGATGTCCTGAGTTTATTCAAAGCATTTAGTTTTCATGGTTTGGGGAGGAGCTATAAGTCATCCAGTGCCAGATCCAGTGAATTAGTGGATGAGGACACACCACGATGTTTTTATGAGCTTGCCTTTTGGTTGGACAGCACTCAGCAGCAGGCTTCACCACATTTTTCTTTTAATCACGCCTCGTAAAGACACAAAGAACTGAAATTATTTTAGAAAGTGTCAAGAACAATGGGATAAATGTGTTTGAAGTAAGGTGGAATCTTTTGAGGGAGATTAATGGCAATGTACAGTATCTTATTGTAATATTTTAAATTTTTATTGTGTACTTTATCATGTGTACTTTAGTACATTTTTGTTTATTGCCTTCTCATATTCATAGCAATATTGATTTATGAATTTTTTGTGTAGTCTTTATAAGAATTTTTGCAGATTTAGCGCACACACACACACACACACATATGTGTGGCCTACCCATAAACACATTGAGATGATCACGTGACATGAGAAACAATAGCACTCATTAAGAAGGCCAACAGGGAGAAGGACATAAAGAGATATCAAAGCAATGATGAAAACAAAAATATAGGATGACTGACAGAGTTCTAAGCAGAAGAAAAAAAGTTCAAAAATACACCTGTGTACAGGGAGGAGAACAAATAGCAGTAATTACTTCATATCACATGAGTACATCTGGATATTTTCTTTGCAACTGGGTCACCCAGATTGGTTCAGCATCTGAATAAGGAAGCCAGTTCACTACACTTTAATAAAATATAATAAAAACTGTATTGCAGAGTGCTAGGAGAGTGAATGCCGAGTGTTCTCCTTACAAAATGAGAACTATGTAAGGTGATGCTTTTTGTTAGATTCAATCATGTCCTATTGTGTGTATATTTCAGAGCATTGTTGTACATGACAAATATGTACAATTTTATCTGTCAAATAAAAATGCACTAAAACATAAAAATGGATTACCAGAAATATGAAAAAATGTGAGTAATTGTCTGCTATGTTCCAAAAGATGTGCCTACTCATTTTGTGCCTGTGTTTCTCAGAAATATCAGATTCTACAGAAGTTGATTTCCATTTACAGTTCAGTTTCTATATGCACCTCATCACCCAGGAACAAAAAGTACACCGGTCAGCAATAGACTGAAGGCTTGCATTGGAGTGGCACTGGTCTATATTTCTTCCATGTCCAGATCAAACTGGAGGTTTCCTGTTAGGGCAATGAAACCAAAGATGCTTTGTGCTAGAGACATACAGGGAACCAAGGCAACTGTGAGTAGCTTCACTCAACGCTGAGGATCGCAGATACCTTTACAGCACGGAGCATCATCAGTCTTTCCCACACTCAGCCCCAAGGTGACTGCCAGGCTCCATCAGCTAGGAAACAAGAGGACCACCTTCCAGGAACTGATGGACGTTAGGAGCTACCTCAATAAAATGAAGAGCATTGTTTTGTGGGGCTCTTTTACATGAGTGTGTGTGTGTGTGTGTGTGTTTGTATGTGTGTTCTTCAACAATCAAGGGTTACTAAACATTTAAAAATTCTGAACATATAACACAGAGGTCTACATAAAAAAGAAAAAATATTCTCTGGGGAATATAAAATATTCAGAGAATAAAATAATAATATCTTCTTATAAAATATATTGTATCTATGAAAGATTTGTGCATATTATATGCGTTTTTTCCAATAAAGCACCAAAAAGTATAAAATCACTATTGGGACAACAATGAATTATAATTAAATTAACCACAAATAGGTAAAAAATAAAATATTGTAAATGATTCATTTCTTACTGCCTTTTCTCCAACAGAAATGATTTTCTTGGTTTCTTGTGTCATGCATTCATATTTGCACAGGTTCAAACATTATTACAGAAGAATTATAAAGGATATGTTCTCTAGTATTGTTTTTTGTTCAACTCCATATTTCCTTTTTCTGGTTTGGTCTTGGCTACCAGGCTCACTCACTCTTCTGCTCCTCTACTTTTAGACTTCGCTTTTGAATTTTTTTTTTCTCATTTCTAACTGCTTCCTGACCGATCCCTGATTTTCAGAACATTTCTTCCTACAAACACTCATGATTGAATTCTTTTAAATTCTGGGCTTTGCTATTATTTCCTGTTTTCTATCACTTTGATTTCTTTTGGCGCATTTTGTAATATTTGCTTGAAGTTCTCACCTACTTTGTGTGCACCTCTTCTGACTCCTGAACATTGTGTTCTGCAGGAAGCACACTCTGAGATAGCTTGGCATGGAGATGTTTGTTATAAATGCATGGGATGGGGAGAGTATGTTTGGTAGAGAGAAGTCAAGTTCAATGCCCTCCTGGTGGCAGTCCCAGCTGATCCAGCTCTACAGCTAGAACCACCATTCAGAGGTCTCCTGAGCTTTGCCTTGAGAGCCTAGGTTTTACTGACCCTGAAACCACCCCTGTGTGAGTGTGATCTGCTCCAAGAAAGGTTGCTACTTTGAACAAGGTTGTCTATGTTTTTGCCCAAACACCTGGGTAGGCTGACAGCTGAAGTCTGTCTTCTGAGATGAGTACTGTCAGCTGGGTCAACACGTCCTTAGTGGAGAAAGATCTGGGCAGAACCTCTAGGTTTTCACTACCCAAGCACGCAGTTATTTTCTACAGAGATGCTCTAAGGAAACATTTCTCTCATAATAACTTTGTGTGGAATGTGAGTATTATCTTCGACTTTGGTGTTCCTGCACCCTTAAGAAGAGAATCTTGGTCCACTTCTAGAATCCTAGTTCTGTGGTTGTGGGGCTCCCTCTTGTGTTATCATCCAGAAACATGCAGCTGTTAATAGGAGCCTCGGAACTTTCCTTGTATGTGGTGACGGATGTGGGCCTAGATTCAGTGTTTTGCCTGTGTGTAAACAGTTTTCTCAGCCACTGTTTGTTAAAGAGGCTAGCCTTCTTCCAGCGTGTTTTTTGGTTCCTTTGTTAAAGATCAGGTACCAGAATTGCCTAGGGTGGTTCCTCTATTATGTTCCATTGAACTTAATGTCTGTCGTTGTACCAGTACTGTGCTATTTTTTATCACTGTAGATTTGTGATATACTTTGAAGTCTGTCATTGTGACACCTCCTGCTTTGCTCTTATTAACCTGAATTGCTTTTGTTGTTCTAGGTCTCTTCTGGTTCCACATGAATTTTAGGATTAGATTTTCTAGTTCTGTGAGCAATACTGTTGGTATTTTGTAGGAATTTCATTACATCTGCATATCAGTTTTGGAAATATTGCTATTTTGACAACATCTGTTCTGCTTATAGAGGAATGGGGATAACTTTGCATTTTCTGATATTATCTCTGATCGCTTTTTCAGAGGAGTGTAATTTTCATTACAGAGATCTTTCACTTCCTTGGTTAGGTTAATTCCTAAGTATTTAATTTTTCTTGATGCTGCTCTGAATGATATTGTTTTCTTAATTTCTTTCTCAGTGGGGTCGTTCTTAGAATACAGGTACTCTATTGATTTTTTTGTGTTGGTTTTGTATCCTGCTACATTACTAAATTTGATTGTTAGCTCCAGGAGCCCTTCAGTGGATTCTTTTTGTCTTCCCTATAAAAGATCTCCTAACAATGATAGTTTGACTTCTTGCTTTCCTATATGTACCTCTTTTATTTATTTCTCTTGCCTTATTGTTATGGCTGATGATTCCAGTACTATATTGCACAGGAAAGATGAGATTTGGCATCTTTCTCTTTTTCCTTATTTTAGATGAAGAGTTTTCAGCTTTTGTCTATTTCATATAATTGATATATATCCAAATTGTCATTTTATGAGGTTATTCTAAAATTATTTGAATTCTATTGTTTATTTATATACACTAAATTAAATATTTGTAGGATATATGTATTGTACATATTCTGTTATTTCTGTTTTCTCAATAAGGCCTTTTTTTGAGACAGAGCTTTGCAGTATTGCCATAAAGGCCTTAACCTCATGAGTTTCCTGTCTCAGGTTCATGAGTAGCTGGAATTAAGAATTTCTTTTAATGATAATGAGCTTTTTAATATTTATTAAATTAAATTTATTCTATCTTTTATATTTAGTGCCTCCTGTGATTTAGCTGAGAAAGAGTTTCCTAAACCAAAATTAGAGAAAAGTTCCTGGGTGATCATGGTGGCACGTGCCTATAATACCAATACTCTGGGAGAGTATTGAGCCCAGTCTGAGAAACTTTGCAACTTGATGAAATCCCATCTCAAAAGTAAAAATAAAGACTAGAGTTGTAGCTCATTTGCAAAGGACCTGGGTTCAATCTCCACCAGGGGGTTGGGGGAGGGAGAGAGAGAGAAATTCCTTTGAATATGTTTCATCTTTTAAGCAAACATATTGACATGATTTATGTCCAATAAAAGCTGCCCATTTAAGTATATAGTTTGACATATTGTGAAAAGTATGTCCATACATACAACCACCACTGTGATCCGGATACAGAACATTTCCATTACCTGACCCTTTCTTCATGTCCCATTCTAGTCAGTTCCCTGTAGCACCACCACTCCAAGAAAATCAGCAGCGGCTCGCAGCAAAGTCTAGTTTGACATCACTGGAATCCCATCTTGATACAGTGAGGTGAGACGCAGTGTTTGCTTTTTGGCTTCTCGGTTGACAGTTTTTTTTTTTTCTTTTAGCACATTGACTATATTGTTTCACTGTCTTCTGGCTGTATAGTTTCTGCTGAAATTCCACAGTATTATACTGTATGACTTCTATATGAATAAATTTATGAGATGTTCAGAATCCAGTTAAGCGGGTTCAGTACTCCAAATGAGTGAAAAACTGACAATAGTTAGTAATGTTTAAGAAGAGCAGTTTCAGTTGGATTGTTATCAACCCTCACCCAAGCTTCAATAGCTAGTATGCTATCTTCTCTGTATAAGGGGACATAGTTGTTATGCTTTCAAATCATTATTTACTAATTTCAATACTGCATTATATTATCAATTCTGCACTGATTACTTTCTTTAGAATGGGTCCTATTTTTCTGACTTCCTTTATGTGAAGTAATTTGAGATTTTATCTAGGTCCTAAAAATAGGTAGAAACCCAGTCACATTAATTTGATAACTGTTACTCTTTTTAATTTTAGCATACAAGTAACTTCTGCCTGGAAGCTTGTTCTCTTAGGTATTTCATGTCGCTATTTAATTATTTTACATTTCTGGGTTGCTATGTGTATATTCCACATACATGTAGTCCAGGCAGAGATTTGGCCAAATTAATAATGAGAAAGTGGAGTCTCTTATGGTTTGTGTCTAGATGTCCCCCCTGAACCTCTTGCAGCCATAGAGCTTTTTCAGAAGTGGCTGAATCTAGAGTGTGTGTTGCTGGGATTAAGAGTGTGTGGTTATGAAATAAATCTAATGAATGGCTTGGCACCACCCTAAACCCGGTAGTCTGGGTAAGTTAAAAGGGGCAGAAAGATGCTCTTAAGGTCCCTTGTCTCTTTGGTACCTTTCGTCCTCCACGAACCGTTGCCCTTCTGCCATGTGCCACCCTGCCTTGGAGGCGATTGATTATGGACGGAAGCCTCTGCACACTGTGAGCTAAAAACTTTTCCCCTTTTAAATTTGGATGTCAGGTATTTTTTTCAAATCAATGAGAAAGAACTATGACAGAGTCTCTCTCTCTCTCTCTCTCTCCCCCTTCCCTCCCTTCCTCTAGCTTCTCACATTAAACAGTTTGGTAGTCTTCTTTCTATGCCTTATCTTTTCCACAAAGAGAACTTCCTATGGTCTGTGTTCATGCTGAAAATCACATCAAGCTGGGCATGATGATGCACGCACATAATCCCAACACTGTGGGAGGCTGAACCGAGACTGGGCAACTTAGTGAGACTCATTTTCAAGATAAAGAATAAAGAACTTGAGATGTAGCTCAGT